CTTTCTAATATCTTTGGAAAAATATTAAAGCAGAATTACATTTTTAATTTGAATGGACATTTCCCTGTCCATGCTCTTTGCCTAGTTGTCTCTTTCAGGCTCCCATGCCTCAGCACAACACTGAGATTTATGTGCAGTGACAGGCAGCCAGCAAGGCATCTAAAGGCATCTTTACCATCAAAAAAGGCACAAGGTCCTGACGCTTGAGCTGAAGAAGTGGGGAAGAATACCTGTTTCTACTGACTTTCTTTAAATTGCAGCTTGGCTATTGATCCCTTTGACATCAAGCCTCTTAGAAAGGCTTGACTTTATGCATTTAAGTCTGGGGCCTACTTTGCAGTGGGTGGTGTTTTATACCCAGCTCTCAAAAGGGATGAGAATGCAGGCTGCAAAATGAAGATTTCCCACCTGTCTTTCTCCTGTTTAAACTTTTTGTTCAGGTGACTGTGGAAACAAAACATCAACACAAAAGGAATACACAGGAATTGCATCTACTTGAAGCGATTACATCTTTACAAAGGAAATAATGTATAAGAATCGTGGTAGATTATCACCCTCTACTATCAGCATAATGGTAAAGGTAAATATAATATTCAGTAATATTCATATAGGTAAATATAACATTCAGAAATGTGAATTAATGGTCAAAGAATCTGGCTAGAGATTCCAGCTTCCTGGCTGGTGAATTTTTAACCTCTGCATGAGTCAGGAATAAAACCCATATTTTTAAATATTTTTCCCTGTTTAGCATGGCAGCATTTTTCTAATGATCTGACCTGATTGTGGGACATCACAGTTAGCTCACAACAATTTCAGTAGGGGTACGGGAGAGGGTATGTGATTCCTTTCACCTTTGACCAACGTTTAATCTAGCAACACAAACAAGACGGATATTAACTTTTCATTCTGCACAAAGTAAACTTCCTTTTCTGGGGCATCCAATAGACAAAACCAATGGATTCAAAGTGATATCATCACAAAAGTTATTATTCCAGTCACTTTGCTCAAGGCACCTGTCTTTCCTCTGACTCATGAAACAACCCTGCACCCAGAGGTCAATTAAAATCCTTTCTAAAAGAGTTCGGCTGTTGACATCCATGTCTCAGTGGAGGGTGCGCCGTGGGGTACCTCCTTTTGGAGACAGATTTGTCTGGGCATCTCTAGAGGCAGGCTGGGGGTCGGGCTAGCCTATTCTCTCTGGTGTGGCCACATTTGGAACAAGGGCTGAGTTCCCAGGCTCCTATGCAGAGCTGTGGTAAGACACATGCATCATTTCTGGAAATAGCTGTTTATGAAATGTCCCTGTGCTTCAGAAAGAGTTATCTGCACTACGCTGCACATTGGTTAGACACTGCAGAGGATATTTGCATTCTGGCCTCCTGCCGTTTTGCTTGTAGAAGCTGTCGTCCCACCTTCGCCGATGTGCAGCATGGCCAGAGCTGACAAGCACGTGAATCACTCCAAACCAAAAGCAGCTGCATTTCTGGTTTAGACTCAGTCTGTGAAGTCTTAATCTGGTCAGTAGTAGCCTTAGGGGAGGGCAGACTGGGTGACCACCTGGGGCCCTGCACTTTAGGGGGCCCCAATATTCTCCACTCCAGTTGTAATAAAAAATTAATTACACTGAATATTTGTATTATTCATATTGTATCAAGATACTTTCATTGCAGTTTCATGGAGAGGGCAAAGTGAAATTGAAATCGAAAAATCTTTGACTTGTTTCTAGGTCATCAAAATGAAGCCTCTAAGGGGCCCCAAATGACTCTCTTGCCCTGGGCCCCAACAGCCCTAAGACCACCACTGCATATGGTGATTTCTTCTGGGTGAAGGGATTTATTGGAATGGAAGAAAATATTCTGCAGACAGGTTATGCTTAACTCCAACTGTCTGTAAGCACATGGAGGGACCCCAAAAACTTGGCATAATGGTAGTGTATTTTTTTCAGCAGTGAACATGCAGGTTCCTGAGTGCTGATCTGGGCTGCATGTTGTATCCTAGCTCTTTGAAAGTTCAGAATACATCTGCACGTTTTTGTTTCCTGTATTGCATTTCCTTCTGTAGGAGGGTTGAGAGAGGCTGTTAGCCATGCAAAGCAGTGATCAGGCAGAAGGCAGGGCAGGGAGGCACTTTGTAGACTAACTTAGGAATAACTTTCTGATGTGGAGGGTGGTCAAGCATCGGGACAGGCTAACTTGAGAAGTTGGGGAATCTCAATCCCTGGGAATTTTCAAGAATAAGTTAGACACTTGGCTGGGATGAGCTTGGGATGTTTTTTAATTAGGGAGGATCCTGTCTTAGCAAGAGGCTGAACTACATGACCTGATCCGATCCCTTCCAGCCCTACTTTCCTATGATCCCTACAATTATTGATGCCAGGCAGGGTCTGACAGGAGATGGATTATTCTAAACATACCTTGTTCAGGTATTTGGAGAGAGTCCAGCGGAAGGCATCAAAAATGGCTGGGGGCTGGGGGGACATGACTGGTGAGAAGAGGCTGAGGGAACTGGTCTAATTTAGTCTGGAGAAGAGAAGACTGAGTGGGGACTGAATAGCAGCCTTTAACTCCCTGCAGGGGGGCTGCAAAGAGAATGGAGCTGGACTGGTCTCAGTGGGGGCAGATGACAGAACAAGGAGCAATGGGCTCAAGTTGCAGCAAGGGAAGTTGAGGTTGGATATTAGGAAGAATTTTCTAACTAGGAGGGTGGGGAAGCACTGGAACAGGCTCCCCAGAGAGGTGGTGGAGTCTCCATCCTTGGAGGTTTTGAAGACCCGGGTAGACAAAGCCTTGGCTGGGATGATGTAGTTGGGGTTGGTCCTGCTTGGAGCAGGGGGTTGGACCAGATGCAATCTCTGGAGGACCCTTCCAGCCCTCATTTTCTATGATTTTTTCCTAAAGCATCCACTGCTTACTGCTGCTGGAGATGGGCTATTGGGGTAGATAGAAATACGGTCTGATCCCAAATGTTCTTAATTGACAATGCAGGTGCCCAACACCACTGGAAACAAGTCAGTATTGCAACAGGATATCCACATTTAGAAAACACTTGTAAATATGGACTATAACCACTCCGTGCTTCAGTTTTCCTATCTGTAACGAGTTTTGTGTGAACTGATTAGTGCTGGTCGCAGGGAGTTTTGTAGGTGTTAGAGTCACTGCTAACTTGTCATTCCATTGAATTAAAAGGGCCTTATTAGTCCCTATCTGAAAAAGTGCCTGCAGAGTTGATTATTAGCGCATTTGAGAAATATTCCTACCCTGGCACAATAGATGGTGCTACATCAGCAAAGTCATAGTTCTGAAGAGAGGGTAGAGGCATTTTATTGTATTTATTTATTAGAAGAAGGAGGAACTCAAGAAAACCTAACTAGGATCAGGGAGAAAGTACAAACCAGAGCTCCTAGCATAGTTAGAAATACGTTTTTCCTATTAGCAATAGGTATTGAACAGTTGGGGAGGGCAAGACTAAAAATCTTGGTGCAGGGTTGCCAACAGAGAGGTTAATTGAAATTATCCTTTGTGGAGGTGGCTTGACTGGGTCACTTATGCTGTAAGTACAGGTTACATGATATACACTCCCTTCTCTCCAAAGCAAATCTTTCCCAACCACTATGAGTAGTCAGAAGCACCCTCCTGTCATGTAGCAATTCTCTCACAACCCTTGCCTCTACCCTAATGCAGATCCTTCAACTGGTCTCCTCAGCTGTTTGGTAACGGGCCTGGATTTTTTTCATAGAATCGTAGAAAACTAGGCCTGGAAGGGAACTCAGGAGATCACCTAATGTAACCCCTTGCTCCAGGCAGGAGCATCCCTGACTAAGCCATCCCAGGCAAGTGTCTGTCTTACCTGCTCTTAAAAGCTTCCAAGGTGAGAGACTTCACAGATCTCTGGGTAGCTTGTTCCAATGCTTGACCACCATCATAATCAGAAAGTTCTTGCTAATATTCAACTTAAATTTCCCTTGCTGCAATTTAAGACAATTCGTCCTTGTCCTATCTCCTGTGGTCATAGAGAATAAGTCTATTCCCATCTTCCATGTAACCACGCTTCCGGTACTTGAAGAATGTTAACAAATCCCCCTTTCAGCCTTTTCTTCCAAACTAAACAATCCAAATTTTCAGCCTTTCCTCATAAGTCATGTTTCCCAGACCTCGACTCATTTTTGTTGCTCTCCACTAGATTCTTTCTAATTTTTCCACATCTTTCTTGAAGCCCAGAGCCCAAAACTGGACACAATACTCCAGATGAGACCTCACCAGTGCTGAATTGAGCGGGAGAATCACTTCCCTTGATTTGCAAGTGATGCCCAGTACACTATTGACTTTTTTGCAGCAAAAGCATACTGTTGGCTCTTGTTCCGCTTTTCATCCGCTGTAACCCCCGGTCTCTTTCTACAGGACTTCAACCTAGTTGGTCTATCCCCAGTCTGTACTTCTGCATGTGATACTTCCATCCCAGGTACAGGACTTTGCATATGTCCTTACTGAATTTCATTTGAATAATTTCAAACTAGTTCATGTAGGTTATTCTGAGTCCTATCCCACTCTCCAGAGTGTCTACAATTCCACACAACTTGGTATCATCTGGAAATCTGGTAAGCACACACGCAGGCCCATCGTACTATAATTAATAAAGATATTAAACAATACCCAGGGCACACCTCGGGTAATCCCACTCACTACCTCATTGCAAATGGACATTGAGCCACTGATGACTACTTGTTGAACATAACCAACCACTTATGTATCTACTTTAGTCCTTTCACATAGACTGTATTTCCTTAGCTTACTAGTGAGAATGTTGTGGGAGACGGTGTCAAAAGCCTTGCTGAAATGAAGGTATGTGACATCCACTGATGGCCTAGTCCTAAAATTTGTGTCACTGTGTAAGAAAGTTTATAGGTACAAATGCCAAAGTCAGGACAAAATGATGTGCAACTAGAGATCTTTATGTAAGGATGCAGTAGTTTGCATGTACAAAGGGTTTAATACCATTTTCTCTAACATATCAAAGGACTAAGGTTTTTGGGTCCCCCCCCTTCTTCTAATATGGATGGTCTCTCACATGTTCCATAATAGACTTCAGACCCAGCCAGGTCTCTTCTGCAGTTGGGATGATTTGATCAGCTGGCAGAAGAAAACCATAACGACCTGTGTCTCGCAACTCAAAGGCAAAAGAGTACTTGATGCCAAAATCGTAGCTCCAATCAATGCTGCCTCCACTGGCTTGATCTGAAAGAGAGAGAGAGACAGACAGAGTTAGAGAGAAACCTCACTGAGTAGATACTATATTGAAATGGTCTGTATCTGTGTCCACCTCTACCAACTAATGAGTGATATCTATCTGAGCTGAGAGTGCTTAGAACCATGTCTGGCCCTATATGAAGAAGTGAAACAGTTTAGTAGATTTGCATGTGCATGGCAGCTACTGTACTATCATCAGCTTTATGATGGTAACACAGATATGGAACAGGCATTAGGTCTGCCTGTGGGGGATCAAGTCAGGTTGACTGGTCAAAGACTCAAGAGTAGCATTCTTACATTAGTGCAGGGGGTTGGACCAGATGATCCTTGAGATCCCTTTCAGCCCCATGATTCTGTCTGACTGATGGTGTGATCCATTCAATGCATCGTTACACAGGGGGACCTTTTAGTGTGTTGAAGACCCCACCTAAAGCAATGGGGAGTGGGCCCTTCCCTCAGCATAACCCAGCAAACTCTGAATTGCTAAATACTCACAGACAGTTGAGCATATGGTCCCCACTTTAAAGCTGGTGCCATGCAGGGAAGTCAGAGCATTAGCAGCAGCTTTCCCCACAGTATCCTAGAGGAGAAGAAGCATGGATGAGTCAGAGAGAAGTTTTATTAAAAAGATGAAATGTTCAAACTAAAAAAAGGGAGTGTTTCACCTTCCTGAACATCATTTAAAGAAGATCCAAACTGATTGACAGCCTACCCCCAACCCACTGAAATATAGTTATACTAAACATACTTATTTCTTAACTGCTGTCTAGCTGAATAGTAAAGCACTCACAACACCTATAATATATTGGGATTCAAGTTGCAGGCAGACTGAATTATAGGAATGACCTTATTCGATCTTTCAGTAGTTCATCCAGTTCAATATGCAGTTAGCAGTGGCTTTAGAAGGAGATGCAACAAAGCCCCATAGTCAGTTATGGAATAATCTGAAGTTTCTTCCTCACTTCCAACAGCTATTGCTCAGTTTATGTGAGAAACATGATTTCTTCAACTGCAAAAAGGATTTGTTCAAGTACAAAAAAGGTTTGTTGTAAAGAGGAGGGTAATAGACTATTCTTTGTGTCCACACAGGACAGGAAAAGAAGTAATGGTCTTAAATTGCTGCAAGGGAAATTAATGTTAGATATAAGGAAGGACTTTCTACCTCTAAGGGTGGTTCAGCACTGGAATAGATTACCTAGAGAGGCTGCAGAATCTCCATTCTTGGACGTTTTTAAGTGCTGGTTAGACAACTGCTTATTTGGGATGGTTTAAACAGTGATGATTCTGCCTTGAACAGGAGATTGGACTAAATGTCCTCCTGAGGTCCCTCCCAGCCCTAGTTTTCTTTGATTATGTGATTGATATTTAATGGATTAACAAAATTAATATTATTTTTATCCTTTTTATAATGGTCAGTGTTTTCATAATGCAGGAAGATGAGACAGGAAGGAAGTGTGGACTAGATCAGGAATGTGTTACTGTACCGGGTGGGAATGCTCCCTGTTTATATATGACTAAAAATTTCCTTTTTAAAGACATTTTGTGGTGCAACATTTTCATTTCAGTTACATGTTCAGCCCATGCTTTCTGTCTTGATGACTTCACATTAGCACTTGATTAACACTTATATGTAGAAAACAATACAAGAGGAAGGCTTAGGATCAAGAAGCGGTTGTATCTCACCAGCTCTCTGTAATCAGCTGGTTTGGTGCACTTATACCCATAGGGATACATCAGGAGCTGGGAATAACTGTGGATGGTGAGGAAGGCTTTGATGTTTCCATGCTTCTTGATAAAATCTACAATAGATTTTACTTCCACTTCAGAGTTGGCATGGGGTCCACGGTAGGAGTCAGAACAGCGTTGATCACTGGATCCCGGACCTGTTGGTGAAAGAAAGAGCCAAAAGGCTAACTTGTAAAACCAGAATGCAAGGGGATTCAAAGCAGACTGACACAAAAATGGATTTGCCAGGTATTTTCATCAAGATAGCTAAAATCAGGTCTGCTGTTGAGGAAAAACAGTATACTGGGAGTTGCTACAAAAACACTTACACAGAGTAAGAGTGAGTTACAGACATATGGTTATCACTTACAGATAATTCAAACACACTTTTTCTCATGGACAATCAAGCAATAAGAAATTCCTTTTATGAGATGTGATAGTTATCACATTTTAAAATTTTTATTTCTGCCTTCTTTATGATGTTGACTCAGCTTCTCATCTCAGTTACATAATTGTATACCTGGAATACTTCCACTGGCTTCAGCAAAATCACCTTGGATTTATACTAGTATAATAAAGATTAGAATGTGATCCACTAACTTTTAAGCAAACAGCAATGTATGAGTTGCTAATTCTCCCTGTCCCAGTGGGTGCAGAAATACAAATAGAAAAATAAGTACATTTGGAAATACTTGATCTTATCCATCTAATTTTATTTTAAAAATAGCAATAGAAACCTTCCAAGTCAATATATTCAGTACTAAAAATAATATATTCACCTGAATCCCTATTGGCCATGCTAATCGGATCAGCAGCTTGTGAATATGCAGCAGAACTCAAGCTGGATTGCACTGAAGGAGGAGAGTTGGACCACACTAAGTAAAAGCCCCTAAACCTAGTAGATTTGTTAAATGCTCTTCCTAGCCTGGCATACTGAAGACATTTCAGCTGTATGATTTTTTATTTCTGGGGTTGCCTTCCTGTGAGATGAGGAATCTATTTAAAAGGAAGGGAAGTAGCTTCCACAGTAACAACTGGGGCTGATCCTGCTTGGAGCAGGGGGTTGGACTAGATGTGCCTCCTGAGGTCCCTTCAACCCTCGTTTTCTATGATTCTGTGATTCTATCTGTAAAAGAAAATTCTGCTTCTACCTCCAAAGCCTGCATCCCAATTCCTGTTTGGATCAACTCCAACACACAAACTCCCAGCAGCCTTGGAGCGTGTCTTCCGCCACATACGGTTCTAAAACAGAGACATCCTGGTTTCAAAACGAGCAACAGGTGGCAATTATATTAAATTTTCTAATCAGAAATAGTTGTCATTCATCTATACGGGATGGGCCAAAGGAAACAGTGGAAGCTCTAGTGAATGTAGGGTAGGACACAATGGTGGGGTTTTTGTGACCCCTCTCTTGTGTGATTCATGATAAAATATGTGTTCGCTGAACGTGTTTTCCTACATGGAAACTTTATGAGGAGGCTTAGGAGATCATTTCACAGCCCCCAAAATCACCCCATTCACTTTGGAGATGGAAATAGTTACACTGGGTGCCTCTACACATTCATTAATGAGCCATAGTTACTGTGCATTAAGTATAGTACTTGGATAACCAAGTACTAAATCAATGTGCAGTAATGGGTGCTACTGCACAGTAGTGCTGGTCCATGGGTTTTTACAGATGCTAACTGCACAGTAGCCTAATACTACTGCACAGTAGCGTATTAGCATGGGATTTACCTGGCACACTACTGTGCAGCATTATTAAGCTACTGCGCAGTTAGCGTCTTGTGTAGATGCACCTACTGTGATTACTCACCTTGGCATGAGAGTAAACATATCCATCAGGGTTTGTGACAACCAACAGGAAAATATCCATTGTGTCTAGCAGAGAGGTGATAGATGGATCATTCCCATACTCAGATGCAATCTAAGTGGAGACAAAGTACATTCCAATATGATTAACACACGTGTTTCTTCTCCTTTATGTATACCCAGTCAAAATTATGTACCGGGGCTGGACTGCACAGGGTTGGAGTTGTGAAACTCAGCAACATTTCATCAGTGCCTTAGTAATTTTTAGCAGAATTCAGGCTGTTTAAAACTAATTGGGTTTCTTTGGCCTTTCTTTTAGCAAAGATAACTGTCCCAGTTCAAGGCTCTTTCCATGAGTCTTCAGGCTGAAACAAAGACTCTGAGAGATGTGAACTTTCCCCATTCACCTCAGTGAAATCTGATGACGACAAATAAGGAGAAGCACTTGAAAAGTCATTCTCTCATTCGAGGCACCCAATCTCCAGGATTTTGTTCTGACTGTGTCTATTGTCTATGTCCTACAATTGTGTAGAGGTAGTACTTCAAATGGAGAAATGGGAATCAAGATTCCAGGATAATATTCCTACACTCTTGCTTCAAAGATGGGTACAGGTAAGTTTTTTCTTCAAACATAGGTAGCAATGGGTAGTATTCAGCACCCCTTCCAGAACAAAACAAAGTAAATTGTGTTGGAAATGACCTTTTGAGCTGTCCACAGTGCTGTGGCCTGGGTGACCCACTCTCGGGCATGGATACCAGCATCAAGCCAAATAGCGGGATGGTCAGGTCCTCCAGTGCTGAACTGCCAAATGAAAAGTAAACTTTAAGATCATTCACTATCATGTGTCCTCCACCCCTCACAGTAACATTCTTTCTTTTTGTATCTGAACTATTTGAAATCACTGACAATGACAGGTCTGACTGGAGTTACATGGTATTAGATTATGGTAATAGAATAAAGAATCAGATTCAGTGATGTCACTTTATACCACTAATGTTTAATTTGCCACATTTTAGAAGTTCATTCTCGCTACATCAGCTTTCTGCCCTCTATGCCTGTAGATCAGTGGTTCTCAACCTATTTGCCATAGTGGGCCACACTTGCAGCTCTCAACGTGTTATGTGGGCCACACCCACACAACTTAGTTTCTGGATGTGTCTACATGTGCATTAGACCCAGGAGCAGTTTACTCCTGGGCAGGCATCTACACATGTAGATAAGCAGGAGCAGATTTGCTGCTCATGGCAGCAAACAGCTCTCACTTCCTGGGGCCCTGCAGTGGGCTCCTGCTACCGCCAGGGGGGAGCTCTACCCACCCCCTCAGTGCTCACCCAGGGGCTGGCAGGGAGAATGGGGCCAGGAGACAGCTATCTCCTAGCCAGGGCTGGGACATTTCTCCCTGCCCCAGAGGGCTGCCTGCTGCCAAGGAGGGAACAATGTCCCTGTGCCCCAACAGCAGGGAGCTCCCAGCCCCAGCTTCCTGAACGGGACAGGGGACTTGGAAAGAGCTGCAGCAGAGAGGCACGTCCCAGCCTCCTGCCCTGATCTGCTGGTGGGGCAGCTAGCAGGAATTCCCCACCCAGCTGAGGGCTCATTACTATCACCTGATCAGGCTGTGGGGCTGGGACCTGCCCCTGACTGGAACAGTTCCCAGCTCCCACTCTGCAATTGCAGGGCAGGGGCTGGAGAGCTTGTTCCCTGCTCAGCTCCGTGATGACACAGCTGGGTGGGGAACAGACTAGACAGCCTGTTCCCCGCCCATTTCCGCAATCATGGGCCAGAGTGAGGAACAGGATCCCTATCCCCTGCCAGCAGAGAGCTCCCAGAACCAGCTCCGTGACTGCGGAGCCAGCACTGGGAGATAGGGATAAGGATCCTGAGAGATAAGGATAAGGAGATAAGGATCTCCAAGCACTGGCCCCATGGCCATGGAACTGGTGCTATGAGATAAGGATCTCCAAACCCCCGATCACGATCTCAGAGCAGGGGGGCTTCAAGCTCTCTGCTGCAAGGGCAGAGGGACATAGTCCTTTCCCAGGCTCTGATGGCAGAGCCCACCCTGGCAGCAGGCAGCTCCTGAGGGTAGGGAGCAATCTCCTGCCCCCTGGTGGCCAGCTGACCAGGAGCAGATTTACTCCCAGTCAGGTGTCTACATGAGCACTACTGCACAGTTAGTAATTGCAAGTAAATTTGCTACTTGCATTTGCAGGTAACAAATTTACTTGTGAGTAGCAAGGTTTACTGTGCAGTAAGCACATGCAGACACACATACTTACTGCACAGTCAACTACGCTACTGTACTTTGCAGTAAAGTGTCTTGTGTAGATGCATCCCCTGTGCATCTATTTAAAAATTGTTTTAACAGGATGCCACATGGGCCGCAGCAGTGGGCTGATTGAGCCACATGCAGCCCATGGTCTGTGGGTTGAGAAGCACTGCTGTAGATGAACATATTGGCTAAGTACAGACAGTCAAAAAGCTTGAGCTGAATTGATTCAATCCTTGCTGGTTAATCTAAACTGCATAAATTGAACTGATAAGTAAGTAAACAGACATGCATTTTTGATTCTGGAAATGGAGCCACATGCCTGCAATGGCCTACGCCAGAAGCTACAGTGTGCTAGAGCATGCTTACCTGCTTGGATGGAGCAGACAGTTGGGCCAAGCTGTGAATGGGAGTTTGCGGGGGAGATGCAAAGCATCCTGGGATACTGGGGGACTGTGAATTAACTTGAATCTGGACAGAATTTCACAAAACTGATTTAATGTAAATCAGTTAAGTCTGATACTGAATCTATCCAGGTTCATCTTAAACCAGTTTCAGCCAATTTGGAAGTGGTTTATGTGCACTGAATTTCTGTTGTGTTACAGACTTGAACCGGTTTCTGATCACTTATACTGATTTATGTGTAATTTCTGTCCCTAACCATCTTCATCAATCCAAAATGGTTGCATTATTAATAATTGTTATTAGGCATCCATAATCCTCCAGAAATTTAAAGCATGCATAATTGTTCTAAATGATGGTATGTGGTTGATTATGTGCCACATAAGAACTAAGCAAGCAGCTCAGTCTCAGGCACTGCAGTGGCTTTCCCTTTTGGGCTTGGGTAAACTGGGAAAGCTCATTTGTCAGTTTAACCTGACAAAGAATTAGTCTGGTTCTTCTTTGTTTGGTGCAAACCTAGCATCATATTTCTCATAGTGCTGCAAAACCTGACATATAAAATCATTTACAGATTCCAGAGCATATTTTTACCAGATTCAGAATCTTGGCATAGTGTCTTAGCCAAATTTCAGCACAAGTAATTCAATTTAATCTCCCTAAGTCTCTCTGCACTAGCAGCGGGCAAAAGTTATTCTTAACTTCTTATCTCAGAAAGTATCAGTGAGTGTTGCTTACCTCTGCCAACGAGCTGCCTCATTTATTTTCTGAGGTGGCTTCAGTTTAGAGGTGGGTGAAGTGATCTCTCTCATACATAAAAATATGTAGAGATAGAGGCAGACATACGCACTTTGGGGAAGTTTTGGATTGCACGGGATTAAAGGAGTGTAATATCATTATTATTATCTCTGCATAGGAAAGGTACCTTGAGCACATACAAGGGCCGCTTTTCATAAGACTCTCCAATCTGGATTTTGCTCACAAGACCGTGGTACTCAGCTGCAAGATCATCCATTGCTTTGTAAATCTAAAATGGAAAGTAACAGTAAAGTAATCAAGAGAATTGTATTGTACGAATGCCTCTTAAAATACTTTTTCATCATTCAGGACAGCTCCAAATCTCACACCCCTGACTTCAATGCAGCCAGTGCTGCTGCTCATTCCTACATCCAAAAAACAATGCCACATCATCAAACTCTGTTTACTTCAGGTACTAGTTCAAAATTGCTTTTCCCATTTTTTAAAACTTCCTGATGATTCAAAAGCTTTGTCTCCACTGCACTTGCTGCTTTCTGCCTCTGGCTATTTCTCCATTCACTTTCCACTCTCTTCTGGAAACACCTCTCCTGTTCCTTATATGGCTGCATTTTTTCTTTCCTTCTGTTGATTGTCTATCAACGTTGATGCCAAAATTTTCTAATTCTTCAGAGAATTTTGAGATATAGTTTATCTTGGATAATCCACATAAAAAGCACTTTGCCCTGTGTACTTTTGAGAAGGGGATCCCTTCATTATCAACCCTTTTGCTTTTCCACTTCTGCCCTCCAAAGCTCTGTTTCACGAGAGGCATCTCCCTTAGCTGAGAAAGGCTAGGATTGGCTCCTCCAGAGCTCAACAGCGTCACTCTTTGTTGGCCAGAGTGAGGTTCCTGCATGATACTGTGTGGTGTCACGTGTCCCAAGCCAAAGGCCAAAGCTTTCATTCCTGGGGTAGCGTGCCAGCTCTACATTGATCATTAAAGCAATTTAAGTCAGTGTCACAGAAGAAAACTGTATGAAGTCATTTTTCTCACACACTTAGTGGGCCTAATGCTAATCTCAGTCATGCCAAGATAAAGCTGCAGTTATTCTACAAATCATTGGAGCTACACTGGTAAAAAAACAGCTCAAGTGAGATCAAAATGAACCCCTTTGTAACTGGAAAAGAATGTACACCTAGAGTTCAAACTGTATAAAATAAGGGTGGGTTATATGCCACTTAATAGCTGCCTATCACCAAACAAATCTAATACAGGAGCCCACTTTTACATACGGTAGGCATACAGTAACTGCAGCAACAGGTTAGGCCACATTTACCCAGGAATCCAGGGTCTTGCAGCACCAGAAGAGAGCACTTAATGCGATTAGTCCTAGCCTAATAGTGTAGGAGCCCGGGTCATAAAAGAGATCTTGCAAGCCTGAATTAAGTTGCACTGATAGAAATAAGTGGAAACCCAAGGCTCGAATAACAAGGGTTCTTCAGGTCAGCAATGAGGATTACTGGCAGAGGCTGTGAAGCAGATAAAACGTGTTTGAGTGGAATATCTGGCAAAAGAAGGAGAGAATACACGCTCTTCCCAAAAGGGTGAACTTGAACTACTTACGGCATCTAAGGAATGATAAGCTCCATAGTTGAAATTACTGTTACTACGTTCCCTTCGCTGGTTAGAGATCATCTCTTGCTTTTCTTCATTTAGTATAACCTAAAACAAACCATCCAAATTTAAGGAAAAACCTGGGAGTTTTGGCAGGAATATAATCAAGTGTCAACCCTGGGACATTCCACAAAAACTCTTATCGACAATCCCAGGTACTACCCACAATTGCAGAACAGCTGTTTCTGCTGAATTCATCTATAAAACAGATAACATCACTGGTAATTTAAATCACAAGTTTAGATTCTAGACCCACATTCACAATGAATGAAGATAGTGTTGGCAGGTCTGGAAAAGGAGCATGTTGCTACTGCAGAGAGTTAATACCTAGTTAGGTCTTATGTTGAAACTGCTCCTTTAAGAGTTAGGGTTGTCAGCTCTCCAGGATTGCCCTGCAGTCTCCAGGATTTAGATATAAATCTCTGGGAGATTGCTGAGGGTCACCCGGGAGATAAATGATAGGGCATTCATTAAAATAAACATAAAATGTTGAATCTGATTTATACAGTAGTCCAGGGGATTTTAAAATGTAATAATAATATACATTTGCCTTCCTGACATAAAGTCGGCACACCATAATCCATAACTGATATACCCAGGCACATTCACATTGTGTGTTGTGGGCACATTGGCGTTCGGGAAACCTCCCAGAATAGATACAGAGTTGGCAATCCTATTAAAGGTCTCTCAGTTCTGTACCCAATGGAGAGATTTTTTTTCACATGCTGGTTTTGGGCTGTCATGGTCTGAGAGGTGCCAACATCATTCTTAACAAAACTGATTAAGTTATGAATAACCTAGTACATAGTCTACAAAGAAATGGAAAGGGAGCTGTCCATATGAAGGAAAGAACTTTGACCAGACCCTGCAGTACTGAGAGCTACAGGTTGTGAGATCAGGAGTTGTTTTTCACAAGATTTCGGGATAAATCATGCATCAATGAAGTTTTTCTACCTGCACATCTTCAATCAGAATAGAGTACTTGATATCGTGGTACCCCAGGAAGGCTCTGACTGCTTGGAGGCTGCCAAAGGGGACTCGGATATCCACAGGAAGTGCTGGGTTCGAGGGGTGCAGCCAGAAATCAAGCTGAAGAGAATAAAAAACGGTCAGGCAGTCATTTTTCTTAAATATTTCTTAAAGCCTTCAAGACAGACAAGGTTCTTTGGGTAAATCTGATCTCTTTTATTAGACCAACTCAAATAGTTGGAAAAATTCTTCTTTGCAAGCTTTTGGGTACAAAAACCCTTCATCAGGTTGATGAAGAGTGTCTGTATCTGAAAGCTTGCAAATATATTTTTTCCAACTATTTGAATTAGTCTAATAACATATATTGGATTTACCCAAAGAAACTTGCCTGCCTATGTCCTTAGACCAACACAGCTACAACCAATACCCCTTAAAGCCTTGAATGCAACTCTTATTTAGCATGTACCATTTCACATTTACAGCATAATCCATTATCTGCCTCTCGAATTACTATATAAATAATAGTTAATTTGGCCTCACAACACCCTTGTTACAAGTTAGTGTTGTTGTCTGCATGTCACATGGAGAAGAAAGCTTCAAATAAACTGGTTAGGGGGGATCAGCAGGCGCTGGGGGAGTCCCTGTTCCCCCGAGCGCCGCAAGGAGTGACCAGGAACAACGGTCACAAGCTGGCGGAGGGAAGGTTTAAGTTGGACATCAGGAGGCGCTACTTCACGGTCAGGGCGGCTAGGGTCTGGAACCAGCTTCCATGTGAGGTGGTGCAGGCTCCCACCCTGGGGGGTTTTAAGAGGAGGTTGGATGACCACCTTATTGGG